GATGACAGAAGGGACCTCCATAGCCTTTCATCCGTTCTGGGCGGCAGTCATAGTTAAGTGTTAGTGGAAGTTCTGGCCTTGCGTATATTTATCTCTACTTTTAGGGGCATCATTTTACGATAGTGCAGGAACCAGCCCATAGCAGAGTTCGATGGCCAACTCCTACATATGCTTCTAATGCCTAATGGGAAGAACCTGGTCTCACCTCCACCGGCGCAGAGCCTAACCTAACAGGTCTCCAGCTCCAGGTGGAGCCTTTGGAGACTCCCAGGGACTTTGGAAATATTTATAAACAGGAGCGAAGAGCAGTGACAGCCACATGAGGACCTAACAACAGCCCACGCTTCATGGAGCCACAGTGTCCTCCTCAGGGACCAAGCCCATGGCAGTCGGACTGGGAAGAGGGAGGGCATATATACCACTGCAGTCAGGATTAAATATATATGTTGCTTCTTTTCAGTAGGTTTTGACTTTTATGCTGTTTTTTTTAAAACTAATTTTACTAAAGCACCAACGATGAAATGGTCAGGATTCAGCAGCCTTAAGGATATTCAGATCCTCGCTCTGGGATGTGTGTCAGCATACCTCAGTACTAGCAGCCGGGGCCCAGACAAGCTGCTGCCTGTGCGCCCAGTTCCTCTCTTTCGGTTCTTGGATAAAGCTGGCCCTATTAAAGCACCAACCATACCCTCAGGCAAACGACATCTTCATTCCCCCATCTCCAGGCACAGCTACAATGAGATCTAACCCACCAGTGTAATGACACAGCTCTAAAATATGAGGTCAAGAGGAGAAAGTGATCCTTCTTTGTCAAGTCTTTTGGGAAACAGAAAGACTCATTGAAATTAGTATCCACCTTCCTTCAGGGACCAGCAGTGGATGATCAGGGAAAGGATATGTAAGACAAGAGTATGTAAGACAGAGAGTAAGCGTGAAATGATCCTTCCATGGCTCTAACCTCTCGGCTTGGCTTAACAAGGCTATACAAACCTGAGCCAGAGGTTAAATCCAGGCCAGTGTAGCTAATGCCTATTTCAAAGCCTTCCTGCTACAAAGTTGTCTATCTAATGAAAAAACTAAACTATTTATATGTTTGTTACCTTCCAGATCCTATGGCAATGAATTCCACAACTCCATTTTGCTTTTGTGAGAAAGCAATTCAGTTTGTTGGTGTAAGCCTGTTTTCTGAGCTGGATGCCCCTTTATTTCTGTTATAATTTAGCTGCCTTTCTCTGTTTGCTCTTTTTTTTTTTTTGGGCACTCACTATTTTAGAGACCTCTACTATATTTTTCCCTTAGTTATTCTTTCCTTCAGAAAGTCCTCATCTTTTTCATCTCTCTTTACAAAGGGCTACTTCTCTCATTAAAGCATCCTGTTGCCCTGCTCAATAGTTTTTCTAGTTTTGAGAAGGGGTTAAGTAGGACAGCCTGCAGTGGTCAAGCTATGAGCACAGCATGGATTTATACAGTGGCCTAAAGGTGTTTATGTCTGTTGTTTATATCTTCGTAACAATTTTTAACTCTCTATTTGTCTTTTTTGATTACCAATAAGCAAGAAACTAGAGGATTTAGAGAGCTAATCTACAGTGAGTCCAAAATTTCTTTCCTGAATGGTACAAGTTAATTTAGAATTCATTACTGGAAACATATAATTGAAGTTGGTTTTTTCTGGAGTGCATTACTTTGCATTTACCAAAACCGATTTTCACCTGCTATTTGATCTCTCAGGCACTCAGTATCCCGAGATTCTTTGGCAATTTTGCAGTCAGACTGACCTTTGACAGAAAAAAAAATTTATGAAGCTTTATCACCTCACAGTTCACCTACTTTTCTAGCTCACTTATAAATCTGAAGAGCAGCACAGATCTCATTAAATCTGAGTGAGTGGGGGCCCTTGCTTCGCTTACCCAGGCCTTCGTTTCCTATCTTTTAACCAGTTATTGATCCAGCCCTGACTCTAAAATAGAACTCTATTCAGCCAACAAGGGAGACGATTTGGGCTGAAGACAAGATTGCCTTTCTCTTGTAAAGAAAGGGTGGTGACAGAGCAGGGAGTGGAAAGTTACTCCTTCATGGCCTGTAGTCCTTTCTCTGCAGAGATTTTTTTTTTTTTTAAATAAAGGGTTGCCGAAGAGGGAAAGGGGTTGGAGGAGAGAAACATCTGCATTCGCAGCTGAGGCTCACAGCAGCAAAGCCATGTTTCCTGATATCTCCTTCAAACTGAGGAGTGCTCAGGCAGCTCCCTTCCCGCACGCACATCTGCAAATAACAAATGGGTTATTTTTCTGCACTTCTGGAAGTAGGCCCAGGAAACGCTTAGGG